TTTTTGAAACAAAAGAAGTTAATTTTTAACTTTTTTGTTAACCGTAACTGAAAAAAATTAGCCGATAGCCGTAAAAGAGCCAAAATTTTAGCCGATAACCGTAAATACCACCACCCCATTGAGACCCTCATATAATGAGACTCAACCCTAACAATCCACCTCGATGTGACGATCTGTTTATCCTTGCATGAACCTTTCTATCGCTTGTTCCATTTCGGTGGGGTCAGACAACACAGCAGGGAGCATGCAATGAATATATTTAGGGACCTTACGAAACTACGACGGCGACGGAAAGGAGAACGCCCAAAAAAAAACAATAGGTTTAATGAGCAAAACAACAACTCTGCACGTGCATCACGCTTTTTTGTACATTTCTTTGCTGTCCCTGCACAACACCAACGTGAAATGACCACACTTAAAGTTTACTTGAGTACGGGAACGACAAGGCGATAAATTCTACCATCTCTGTCTGAACTCGGGCGCGGCCCCCTCTCTTCAGCTCCAACCAAAATTCCCTTCTTCTAAGTAACAGGGCGAATTGGGATAATCGTGAAAACGTCTAATGGGATGCGAAGTCTATTTTTCAGCGACGTTTTCATGGACGTCGCCGTTGTAGGATCGTGAAGTCCCCGTACTAAGGACAACAGGCGACCGCAGAGGTATCATCTCTTGCACAGTAGAAACGTCGCGATAAAGAAAGGACACTTAATGCATGAAAAAATAAAAAAATAAAAAAAAAATTATAATAATAATCATAATAATAATAATAATAATAATAATAATAATAAACAAAGCCTAGCATACAGTGCAGCAAACATTTTAATGATAAAACTTCATGATATTAATTGTGATTTAAATGATCTGAATTGTTCGATTTCACTATAATTAATTCACACATTTATGGCACTTTAAAAACTTTTTTTTTTCCAAATAAAAGAACTGGTGATTGATTTGGCTTATATAGTGTTGTTTTATAAGTACGTTGAGGCTGCGAGGAGAAAATAACAAAAAGAAAGCAACAGGAGCCCATAACCCGGAGCGAGCAACTTCCATGCGCTAGTGTCACGGTGTTTTTACAGAGCAGTTTACTTTTAGAACGGTTTTAATTTTTTAGAGCGAATTTTGAATACCTTTTAAATATCACAAACCAGTCAGCAAAACCTTCAGACTTAAAATGATATATATATTTTTTTCCCTTTAATAACGTTTAGTTTTCCTCTTTGATATCTTACTCTTCGAATGCACTCATAGACATGGTGGAGATTCTATGTTCGCGGGAAAAAGTGAGTCTAAAAATAAACTGGTCCCTAAAAACGCCGTGACATAGGCCTAGTATGGGAGTTGCTCGCTCCGGGTGCGGGGTTATGGGCTCCTGACAGGAAATAGTCAACTGACTACACGTGCCAAGGCGATAGTCAAACGATCACGCGCGGTGCCAGTGAAAATAAAGAAATTACTGTTCGAAAAGAGGGCGGGGGGAAAGTCATCTATTATTTTTGGACGTCAGTCAGTTTGACAAGTATGCACTATGGCAATCGCGTTCCCACGAGGGGAGAGGACTCTGGGAGCGAAGTTGGCACTCCTTGGCTCCACCTAAACCGAGCCAGGCTTTTACAATGGAAGCACTTTTAAGATTTTATTTTATTTTATTTGTTTATTTATTCGTTTATTATTATAATAATTTGTTCTGGTTGGGGTGGTGGGGGGGGGGGGGGGGGTGGGGTTTTGGGGCTGTTTTTGTAGAACGGGGGGAAAGGGGGGGAAGTGGTGCCCCCTAGTCTATACCCACAAAAAAAAAAGTAAATAATTTTTTTAAAGAAACAGGTTTTACTAATATAGATAATTTTTCTTTTAATATTTCTATATATTATTGTGCAAAAAAACTCAGTTTTCACGTCGCGCGCGGGGGCTTCGCGGTGGGGGGGGGTTGGCGGTGTCCGATGTCCCCTCTCTCTGTTCTCCCCACTAGGCGTTTTTTTTTTTTTTTTATTTTTTTTTTTTTTTTTTTTTTTTTTTTTTTTTTTTTTTTTTTTTTTTGTTTTTGTTTTGGTTTTGGGGGGGGGGGGGGGGGGGGGGGGGGGGGGGGGGATGGACTTGGGGCCATTCATTCAAACCAACGCGAAAATGAGAACAGTTAGTCCCCTCAGTCTCAGTCCCCAATAAAAAAGTTAATTAATGTTCTTAAAGTAAACAGTGTGTATCGCATTGATTCATTTTACTTGAAGTATCCCTTCTAAAGTCTGGCAAGAAGACTCCGATCGCGCTGCATCGATGAGCAAACGTCTAAACATCTAAGAGACTACTGTAACAAGAGTTACACAGCAGCGAGCTCGCCATTTTTCGATGAAAAATTTAAAACAATGCTTACAGCCCCTCAGATACGAGAAGAGGTGTTCAGTTACAGTGCTTTTTACGCGAGTTAAGTTACGAATCGACACGAGGCCGAAAAGGTTTCGAGCCAAGGACTTCCGGACCACTAATTACTAAGTTCGTCTCAGTAATGGAGGAGGGGTTGGGGGGATCCTTTCAAAACTATACGGGAGTCAAAAATGACTGTAACTTAGTGCGTTGTATTGTAACAAAAAATGCTTCTCCCCGTAGGTTTTTTGAGTAATTTTAAGCCCAGCTCTGCCTAAATAATACCGAAAAACAACTGCTGGCATTTTTTTCTGAAGTATGTCTGATTGTAGTTTGTAGCAAGTGATACGCTACAACAACTCCAGGTCAAGATTAGCCTGCGAGCAGGCTCTCCATTTAGGGGTTATCGTGCAAAGTACACGCGCGAGTAGCGCACGAGGGGAGACAAATAGAGAGCTTGCTCGCAGGCTAGTGCAAGGTAGTTTTGCTTGGTTGTAGTGGTATTTATTGCTTTGCAAACAAATAAATACTTCGATCATAGATTAAATAGATAGATTTTGTAGTCTGGGAGCCCATCATAAGCCAGAGAATTGAACATAATATGATTATTGACCAGCTGACTTGAATTTCTTTTTAGATCCTGCCTGGAATAAATCTCGTTCTTACATTTCTAGTACCACACCCTTATTTTAGGAGTACCCTCCGGTTTTCTGAAAATTCAGGCTCGGTATTTCCTGAGTGTGACTTAAATAACTAGTATTCATTTCTGACTCATCAAATTACATTGGAATGAACAAGGGTGTTTAGAATCATGTCGCAAATTTGTTCTCAAGTTCAGTCGTTTTATAGCCAAAACCCGGGGATGAAGCAGTGTTAAGCAAGAACCACTTGTACGGAAAGTTTACCAAATACGCTTTGAGTAATGTCAGGTGTACAGAAATTCTTTCTTGTTATTAGTGTATGTTTATTCACCCCATCATGTCAAGGTAAGAACTACAAAATCATGTTTTCTCAAAAATAGTAAACAGGCTCCTAATTCGCTCTTTTTCGTTGTTTATTGTTGAAGCATCAACATACATGCGTCAATAAAGAAGAGACTAATAACTCATTGAAATTGTCCACTAAGCCAAACGGGCGAGCTTGTAAAAATATTGAAGGTCGAGAATTTGGGATAAGTATAGTCTTTACGCCAACATGACGTCTGTTTCCTCCTTCATATCATCTATATTATTATCGCTACTAAAACGTTCCTTCAATTTAGGTTTATTCTGTAGTTCGTTTGGGAATTTTTACAGAGGAAATTGTTGACTTTTTGCGCATTTTGTGCAGTTAATTGTTGCTTCAGAATTCAGGCGAGGCTTTTCGGATGTTTTGATAAGGTCTTAACCTACCATCAAATTCTCGAAATAAATAATAGTTAAGTGTCTAATGTGAAGGGGTATAATAGGGTAGTTTGACATCGTAATTTTGAAAAACTGACTAGTATGTTAATGATCAGCAGTAAATAGAAACCATTAGCTAGATAACACTTATTTAATCTATTCTTTGTTGAGTAAAATTTAACTTCCGCGTTTTTAAGGACTCAGTCTAATTGCTCGAATGCATCTTTAACTGAGGCCCCTCGGTCACTGGCAAGCAAGTAACCAGAAATACATTTTCTCTTGCTTTACTCGGTTATAGAAATAGGTCATCGTCCAAATAAATTAGAGCCAGTGGGGCTCGGTCAATAATCTAGCTCTGTTTGACATCTTACTTTGTCTCTTTTGTTCAACTGGTTTGTAATCGGAAACAGCATGACCTTTGTGGAGCATAAAATGATTCACTCTTTTTGTTTCGGTTCCCTAATAAATGCATAAAAACTGTTTTTGGCATGTATCAACACAATTACGATTAACAAAAAACTGTGATACAATGGAATCTAGATATAACGAAGGGCATGGCGACTTACAAAATACGTTCTTGGTTCGCCATATCGAGGCTTCTCCTCTTACAAAACCATTTCACCAGCTACAAATGAGAGACAAATTATAGTGTTGAGACACTTCTATAAAATGGCTCCTTTTTTGCACAGTGGACATACCTTCCCCATCCCCTTGTGTATCCCCACCCCTCCCCCAGAATCAATGTTGTATTTAGACCTTCATGTCTTTCTTTTGCTAAAAACAAGCAACATTGAGCGGGAGACTGGGGATTTAGATTACGGCGTTTAAGCAGAACTAAATGATAAATGAATGAAATGCATGGTAGATAAAAGCGCGCGTGTTAGACAAGTACAAAGTGTGCCAACTACATTTGTCCCTAATTGTACATGTAGACACTTCCCGAGAGTTATATACAGGGACTTTCTCTTTAACTACCCATTCTTTTCCATTTCAGTGTATTTGCTATGAAGTTTTATTGGTGTTTTTGTTGTTGCAGTACCAAATGCTCCACCAGCTAATGTCATAGGAAAAAATGTAACCTCTACCAGCATTTTTGTACAGTGGGATGAAGTTCCAGCAAACAATCAAAATGGCGCTATAGTGAACTATACAGTCACCTACACAGAGTTGCCTAATGGTAGTCCAACAGCAGAGGTGGTGATTGCCCCAAAAAGAAATGCCACATTGAAAGGTTTGAAAAAATTTACCAACTACAGGATTACAGTGTTTGCGTCTACTGCTAAAGGAGGTGGCAATAGAAGTGATCCCATTATTGTCATTACAGACGAAGATAGTAAGTACAATTCTGGTCTTCATTAATTTGTACTGTAGCTTCCTTATTTTACACACTTTATCGGCATTAAAAGTTCTTTTAAATTATGAGGTGGAAACACTTTATCTTGAAGTGGATAACACTAGTTTCCCAAACCTGTACAATGACATGCAAAACTAGTAGACCTGCAATGCCAGTTTGGGATGTTTGCCTTTTGTCTGTCCCATTCAACTAGTTACGTTAGAAGAAACCTGTCCTCTAAAATACTACTTTCACAGTACTTACATAGTTAATTACTTGGTACACTAGCTAGAGACCTGATCATCTTTCAACTCCCACTTATCTATTACTAAGGGGCTTTTAGTCATATGGATTCTTCTTACCCTTTTTTGTGGGATGCTTCGTTTTAGTATTATTGCTCATTCTATAATAATCTGACAATTGCCGATTTTAGACCTGTCCCTAGTTGTTCAAAAGGTTGTTAAACGCTTTTCCCCTGATAAATCTCTATCCACTGGAGAGCGCAATTGGTTTCCCCAACTGCACTTGTAACATGTATCCACTGGTTAGTGATATTTTTGGAAGATAGCACTATTCAGCTTTCCTACAACTGAGGCCTGAATGCTTCTCCTACTCAGTTCTTACTCCACAGGATTGAAATGTCTTAGGTCAGTTGTATGTATTGCATAACAAACTATTTCAATAATCCTTTGGCAAGTTTGCCACGATTTTAACAGACTTTCACAAAGTCTTGGTAGCGGAGGCTAGTTTTGTTTTTTCATGTACCAAACGACTGTGTCGTCTTCTTGGCTCGCTTCGCGACCTCATTAAAGTTCACTTTGTTTGCTCTAGACTAGTCACTGACAATTTTTCACCCGGTAGTACCGATCAATAAAAATGAGGTCAACTTGGTGCAAGTCTATGACCTCATTTCTATGCAAAATCTGGGGGATGCCAGGTTTTTGTCCCAAGATCTTTCAGTCAAAGACGGTTCAGTGGTTGTCTCAGTGATGCAAATTATTCCTTTATTATTTTTTAAAAAACTTTTTCAGAGCCAAGCGCTGCTCCAATCAACGTTCGGGCACGCAACCTGAGTTCTACCAGCATTTTGGTACAATGGGGTGAAGTGCCGGATACTGATAAAAACGGCATTATACTGAGTTACACTGTTAATTACGAAGCAAATCCTGAAGTCAGTCTACAACAAAGTCAGGTAGTGAATGCTTCAACAAGGGAAGTAACTCTGACAGGACTCGATAAAAATACAGAATATAAAATTATGCTGTTTGCTAATACCTCAAAAGGAGGAGGAAGTGAGAGCGAACCTGTCGCTGTAAAAACGGACGAAGACAGTAAGTATACCATTGCACAGGTTACTGCCGCTGCTAATTAGTTATGGAATGCAAAATTACCCAAATTGAAACTGATATGGAGAGAAAAAAAATTCATCTATTGATGGTAAAATTCATCTGGCGTTAAACAATGGAATCCTACATTTGATTTACGGTCTTTTCTTCTCCGAGTTTTTTCGCCAACGTCCTGTTCACTTACGTCTTAAGTCATTTCCAATCCAATCTTTCCAATCTGGCTTTATTTCACACTATAAGGCATTTACCTTGACGTGTACTTAAGTAGGAGAACAAAGTAGCTGTGTACAGTGTCTGATCTGCGACTGAAAGACTAACGAGGCATGTACATGCAGTGAAGCGCTCGTTTGGTTTCTTGACCAACGGGACAAGCGACTCGTAGGCGAAGCGAAGGGCCATTTTTCAGTTGAGGTATGATATCCGAATACCGCTCGAAACCCGTAAAACAAGACCACGCTAAATAGATGGCAGTATGACACAAAACTGGTTAACTGTTACTAGGCTCAGGTGTAGGTAAAAACATGGAGCGTTTTAGTCAGCTTAGTTCCTATTTCTTTATCGCCAAAGGTTCTCTTTAATGATTCTGAGTGACCAGAATGTCTCCTACCCCGGGAAAACAGCTGGGCTAACAGGAACAACGATAATGCCATATCATATTTAGGAAAAAAACAGCAAAATGAGGTATCCAAGGAATGCGTAAGAGGCATCGTTAGTATAGCAACGGAAAACGTTGATTACTTGTTGAACACCACTGATTATAAGTATAAGTACCTCGTAATTTGTTTATCAGAGCCAGATGGTGCTCCACAAAATGTGAGAGGACAAAACACCAGTTCAACCAGCATTTCAGTATCGTGGGAAGAAGTGCAAGCTGAGCTGCGGAATGGTATCATTACTGGTTACAACATAACGTACAAGTCACAGACAGAGAATGA